AGCCCGTGATCAACATCACGCTATGCATCAGGCTCTACTTGATGTGTCTGAAAAGTATAAGCAAGTTACAGATCCTGGATTTCAATACCCCACCACCCTTATTGGCGAACTTCACGAGTACAATGGACGTTGTCTAGAACTGACTTTGGAAGGAGCAAAGTCCCCTGCAGTCACTGCTTCATATTTCACTGCACATTCTTCAGCCCGTCAAACCTCAATCAAGCATCACAACTTTCAAACTGGTGTAAGCCATGCAAAGAGGTTACAAAAGCAAGCAGTTCATCTCATGACCCATAACAAGCTTCTTTTTTCAAGGACTGGTTTAGAATCAAGACCAAAATCAATGTTGGATGATCAACGGGTCTTTGATATGCTTTACACATGGGCATCATCTAAGAAGCCAGGAGAGGTAAGTCTCTTTCTATGTAGTTCTCACTAAATCAGAGATACAAACACTGAATCTTTCTTCATTCAAACCAGCTCTTACCTCTTGGTCTACAGGACTATGCAAACTCGATTGTTCTCCCAAAATTTGGATATCAGAAGACCATCTCTCTGGTCACCATGTATCGATGGCTTTTTCACTTGGGATTTTGGGCACGTGAATACAGTAAAGGACTGTATTATGATGGTCATGAAAGACCTGATGTGGTTCTTTCCAGACAAGTCTTTCTCGAGAAATATGAACAACTCAAGAAAAATATCCGAACATATTCCGATCCCGATCTTCAAGTCGCCAACCCCCTTGTCCTTGAAGATCCAACCTTTGGCGAACTAATCCCTCTATACCATGATGAATCAACCATCCATGCAAATGAACGGCCCAGGCTAGCTTGGATCCAAGATGGTGTGAATGAACTCCGCAGCAAGAGCAACAGGCGCTTGATTCACATCTCTGATTTCATATTACCAACTACAGGACGGCTCCATACATCTTTAAAAGATCCATCGATCTCGATTGATTTGCCTCATCCTCCTCCACCTTTTTCTGGGGGATCCTGTAGAGTCGCCTGCAGCATGCAGCTGCACTGCCGTCTACCACATGGCTCAACTTATCGATCA